TTTTAATGAACTCGAGCTCAGCTCGTTAAGACATCAAACTCTAGCCTTAATGGGCCGAGCTCGAGCCGAGTCGAACTAAGCTCGTTTAATTTAATTGCACTTTCCATGGTTGTGTAACGTGTTCTGAGGATAATAAAACTCAAATCACAAGTTTTACTATTAAAGCATTTTTTGTTGCTAGTATTTATACATATTAATATTTTGATTAATTTTTTAATTTCATTTTATTTTATTTTTCTCAAAACAGGTCATAACCCATAAGTCCATTCTCTATCATAAATCATAATAATTTGTTACAAAACAACCAATTTTCAGATTTTATTGTCTAATAAAAGAACATTAATGCTTGCCCACATTCAGTTTTCTTAAAAAACATTTCAATGTAAGTAAAGGGTGCATTAAGTATTTAGTACAATCTTTAAATAAGAAATAGTCCCCTCAAGGGTTGTCCCTTGTCAGCCCATTCATACACTTCATAGTGGTCAAGACCCAATCTTCACTTGATTGGAGCCTAGCACTTTTTGAAACACTGCTTGAGCCTTGTACTTCTTACAAAATTTGAAGAATTAAACTCACCTATAGTTGGAGGGTAACCAAACTGCAAGTACATTCTCCTTCTGCACGAGCACGACCCAAAAGAATAGAAAAAATGCTACGACTAATATTCTCACCAGCTGACTCCTATAGCAAGTACCTCTGGGTAAGGTTCTTCACAATTTCTTGGACGGTGTACCGACATTGACACCTTCTCGCTATAGCAGTGATAGTGAAAACTCCTACAAACCAAAACCAAGGGTTTAGAAGCCCGGAAAAATTGAGAGGTCCACTATTCCCTTTGGAAGATCGGATATTTTTCGAAGTAGTCCAAGCCTGTTTTTTCTGATCCTTTCATCTTCCTGCAATCAGAGTTTGGAGTATATTACATAATATGCATGTTGACTAACGTTGTTCTTACAAATATATGAATCCCAAAGGTATGATAGAATGAGGTCATTCTTAAAGCATGCATTGTATTTGTATAACTGTATAAGAAAGTGCATGCCATGATGATTATGACAGAGTCTTCACATTGCACTTACTGAGTGATATATTTGTAACGTTACCAAAAAAAATAATGATAATAATAATTGTTTTTGTAATCATAGAATGTAAAATGTAATG